AAAGGAATGCATGCATGTTTTTAGGTGTTCTAGTGAAAAAGAATATTTTTATTACTTGATAGATTTCTCGGATGTTGATTTATTTAATGTTACATGAAGTCTTCTCTCTCTGTTTAAATTTTTTTCTGTGTAACCTAGTAATGAAATTAAGATTGTCTGTGGAAAATAAAGACTTTGGAAGTAAAAGTGACATAAAATATGGTAGATAAACTTGGTATATAAGAAATGTTAAAAACATTCCAATTAAGATTTTATAACAAAATATAAGTTTAATAGATTAGATTATCCAAATATTCACTTAAAAATGCTTACGACGTATCTCCAATTTTGGCAGTACGTTATATGGTGAAAATAAAATACATGGTATCTAATTTCAATTAGGGTAACCTTCATAAACAAATGCAATTATGTTTTCAATTATGTTACAAAAATGGTTTATTTATATTTATTATTGTATATTTATATTGTATATATACAATGATATATTTCTGACTACATCTTGGGTATAGATGAAAATGATCTCTCAGGTTAATCTAGAAATGGCAGTATAGTGCAATTATTCATTTTAAAGGCTACTAATTAATGAATCTAATATGCATAAATAAAAAGCAATAAGAATAAACATACAAGCATATATTTTCCTAAGGAAATAATTATAGGTTTTGCTTCATAACTCAAAGGACTCAGAGTTTACAGGAAAATCAATGTACTTTACTTGGGCAAGTAACTTTGCCCGGTGAGCTTATACTAAGCTAATAATTTCCAGACAGGATTTTCTGACTCTTGGAATGTGTAGTAATAGAGGTTAATATATTGATAGTTAGCTGAACTGTCTATGTAGTTTAGGTTAGGGTGCCCTCTGACGTACCCTGAAAGCATTCAGTGCTTAGCCTTCTTTTAGCACTTAATGCCCTGTGTGGCAATTGCCTGCTTAACGTCTTAGAGCAGGATTCATTTTATCTCTAGCAGTTAACAGTATACTATAGATGCCTGCAAACAGTCCACTGAACAAATAAACGTCATTTGTTTAACTCTTTAATTTGATGCATTGATGTTTAAATAATACACTTTGGTGATTATTGCTGTAGTCTATGCATACCCTATTTTTTCAGGTGTCCTTCTGATTAAGTGATTTGTAGACATTCCATAATTAATATTGCAATGTTCAGAATCAGAGAGACTGACCTCCTCTTTTTTCCCTTCAAATTTATTTATTTATTTAATTGTAACATAGCTTATTGTACATATCTGTGGGGTACAGAGTTGAATATCAATACCTGTGTACAATATATGATACTCAAAATAATTTAATGAAAGAAATACTGTGCTGGCCAGTAGGAGCCATTCACTTTCCAAGTTGTCAGCCCTGAACTGGGGCCAAGACACAGGGTTCTATAATTATGAAACTGGAGCTCCTAGGGCATCTCTCTGACCCTACTGAACAAAGGTGAGAGAACAAAGTAGAGTCTAAAGATGGTAATGGGTTGAGAGATACTTTCTATAAATAGATGTAATGCAGGTTTGTATTATTAATACCGACTAAAACTATTTCATGGCCATCTTTGAATGTTCTGAGGCACTATACCTAAGAAAAATTAAGTTCTTGATAAAGGAATGCATGCATGTTTTTAGGTGTTCTAGTGAAAAAGAATATTTTTATTACTTGATAGATTTCTCGGATGTTGATTTATTTAATGTTACATGAAGTCTTCTCTCTCTGTTTAAATTTTTTTCTGTGTAACCTAGTAATGAAATTAAGATTGTCTGTGGAAAATAAAGACTTTGGAAGTAAAAGTGACATAAAATATGGTAGATAAACTTGGTATATAAGAAATGTTAAAAACATTCCAATTAAGATTTTATAACAAAATATAAGTTTAATAGATTAGATTATCCAAATATTCACTTAAAAATGCTTACGACGTATCTCCAATTTTGGCAGTACGTTATATGGTGAAAATAAAATACATGGTATCTAATTTCAATTAGGGTAACCTTCATAAACAAATGCAATTATGTTTTCAATTATGTTACAAAAATGGTTTATTTATATTTATTATTGTATATTTATATTGTATATATACAATGATATATTTCTGACTACATCTTGGGTATAGATGAAAATGATCTCTCAGGTTAATCTAGAAATGGCAGTATAGTGCAATTATTCATTTTAAAGGCTACTAATTAATGAATCTAATATGCATAAATAAAAAGCAATAAGAATAAACATACAAGCATATATTTTCCTAAGGAAATAATTATAGGTTTTGCTTCATAACTCAAAGGACTCAGAGTTTACAGGAAAATCAATGTACTTTACTTGGGCAAGTAACTTTGCCCGGTGAGCTTATACTAAGCTAATAATTTCCAGACAGGATTTTCTGACTCTTGGAATGTGTAGTAATAGAGGTTAATATATTGATAGTTAGCTGAACTGTCTATGTAGTTTAGGTTAGGGTGCCCTCTGACGTACCCTGAAAGCATTCAGTGCTTAGCCTTCTTTTAGCACTTAATGCCCTGTGTGGCAATTGCCTGCTTAACGTCTTAGAGCAGGATTCATTTTATCTCTAGCAGTTAACAGTATACTATAGATGCCTGCAAACAGTCCACTGAACAAATAAACGTCATTTGTTTAACTCTTTAATTTGATGCATTAATGTTTAAATAATACACTTTGGTGATTATTGCTGTAGTCTATGCATACCCTATTTTTTCAGGTGTCCTTCTGATTAAGTGATTTGTAGACATTCCATAATTAATATTGCAATGTTCAGAATCAGAGAGACTGACCTCCTCTTTTTTCCCTTCAAATTTATTTATTTATTTAATTGTAACATAGCTTATTGTACATATCTGTGGGGTACAGAGTTGAATATCAATACCTGTGTACAATATATGATACTCAAACCAGGATACTTAGTATATTCAACATTATAAATGTAATCATTTTTCATGGCCCTTTACCAATTCCTCCCTCACCCCTACCTTTCCCACCTCTGGTAACCTCAGTTCTGTTCTCTGCAAACAGTCCACTGAAAAAATAAATGTCATTTGTTTAACTCTTTAATTTGATGCATTAATGTTTAAATAATACACTTTGGTGATTATTGCTGTAGTCTATGCATACCCTATTTTTTCAGGTGTCCTTCTGATTAAGTGATTTGTAGACATTCCATAATTAATATGGAGAGACTGACCTCCTCTTTTTTCCCTTCAAATTTATTTATTTATTTAATTGTAACATAGCTGATTGTACATATCTGTGGGGTACAGAGTTGAATATCAATACCTGTGTACAATATATGATACTCAGACCAGGATACTTAGTATATTCAACATTATAAATGTAATAATTTTTCATGGCCCTTTACCAATTCCTCCCTCACCCCTACCTTTCCCACCTCTGGTAACCTCAGTTCTGTTCTTTCTTTTTGAAAGTTCAATGTATTATTGTGATCGTTATATATTTCTTCCTTTCTTTCTTTTATTTGTTTATTTTTTAGCTCCCACTTATGAGTAAGGACATGCAGTACTTCTCTTTCTGTGGTTGGCTTATTTCACTTATAATTCTAAGTTCATCCATGTTGCTGTGAATGGCAGTAGTTCATTCTTTTTTATGGCAGAGTAGTATTCTTTTATGTAAATATGCCACATTTTACTTAGCCAGTCATCCAACAATGGACATTTAGATGGGCTCCAACTCTTGGCTGTGTAACAGAGCTGTGATGAACATGGGAGGTATCACTTTGACATGATGATTTCCATTCCTTTGGGTGTATATCCAGCAGTGGAATTGCTGGATCATATGGCAGTTCTATCTGTCATTGTTTGAGGAACCTCCATAACATTTTCCTTAATGGCTGCACCAATTTACAGTCCCACCAACAGTGTAGGAGGGTTCTCCTTTCTCTGCATCTTCTCCAGCATTTGTTATTCTCTGTCTTTTTCGTAACAGCCAGTCTAACTGGTGTGAGATGATGTTTCAGTGTGGTTTTGATTTACATTTCCCTGATGCTGAGTGATGTTGAGCATTTTTTCATGTGTCTGTTGGCCATTTGCATTTCTTTCTTTGAGAAATGCCTATTCAGCTCCCGTGACCATTTTTTAATCAGGTTTTTTTTGTTGTTTTTTTACTAATTTTTTCATGTGTCTGTTGGCCATTTGCATTTCTTTCTTTGAGAAATGCCTATTCAGCTCCTGTGACCATTTTTTAATCAGGTTTTTTTAGTTGTTTTTTTACTGTTATGTTCTTTGAATTCTTTGCATATTCTGGATATTAATCCTTTGTCAGATGCATAGTTTTCATATTTTCTCCCACTCTATAGGTTGTCTTTTTGCTTTGTTAATTTGTTAATTTTGCTGTGCAGAAGCTTTCCAGGTTGATAAAATCCTATTTGTTTATTTTATTGAATTAAAGTTGAAGTTCACTAAATTACACACATGTAAGTATGCAATTTGATTGGTTTTAATGCACACACACATACACACCTAAAGCAATCATCAAAATCAAGATAACAAATATTCCCATTATCCTAAAAGGTTTTTTGTGCTCTTTAATCCCTCCTAGTAACTGTTCTGCTTTCTGTCACTAAAGAATGGTGTGAATTTTCTATAATGTTATATAAAAGTAGTCATACTTTTTTGTACAGTTGTACTTTTTTGGTGGCAGGGCAATCTGGCTTTTTTCACTCAGCGTAATAATTTAGTGATTCATCTATGTTGTTGTTTTAATATCAACAGTTCACTTTTTTTTAATTGCTAATTATTTTCCCATGTACAGATAATACCACAGTTTATCCATTCATCTGCTGATGGACATCTGAGTTGTTTACCGGCTTTGACTATTAAAAATAAAGCAGCTATGAACACTCTTAAACAAGTCTTTGTGTGGATATGTTTGTATTTCTTCTCAGTAAATACTTGGAAGTGCAGTGGCTCAGCCATTTTGTATGCATGCTATTCTTTTTAAATAGCATATTTTCTGTACTCTTAGTCCTTTAGTGTAAGCTAGATTAGTTACCTTGCTCTTCTCTTACCCGTAGGAAGTAAGCACTCACCTGGAGGAAATGTTAAAGATGATGGGAAAAGGGGATGATGGGGAAGGAAGTGTAGGGAAGGGAAGATTTGGATTAGGTCCATCAGGGAAGGGCAAGTTTTGTTAGGATTTCAAATCTGTGCATTGGAAAAGGTGAGGCGGAGAGAGTACACGAATGTTAAGAATCTGAAGGCTAACTCCCGTATTTTTCATGTGGCCCTTTACAAATGAAACTTGTTGCTACTGTACTGAGATTTCTATTATCTGTTGCTATTTTCCAATGATTTTAAACTCTCTGGAATTCTAATGATGCACATTTGCATTGCTCTTACGTGGTATCCAGCTTGTCTGCTTCTGCTAATGGCTCACAGTTCATGATAGTCCTTCTCTTCCATAGGTGGTTCCTTGGCAAGAAGAGAAGTGAGGAATATTTACACTTTTCCAGATGAAACTGGTCCAATATCGTTTCTTTGTGGCCCAATTTAAGATAGTTTCTCAGCTAGGACATTTAGGACTTACTGTTAACTGTATGATTGTAAGAGTAAACAAATACAACTTGCAGACAGAATGTTTAGCTTCTTATTATCTTAGTAAGAAGATAATAAAGGATATTATTGAGATTTTATTCATTTTGTACATGCTGTATGTGCAAATGCTGGATATGTAGCAATCTGACGTATCATTATTAATTTTGACAACATATTTGCACATTTACTTCTTTTTTAAAAAAAAATTAACACATCACTGATTTCAGCATATTTTCCATACTAAGAAGAAATATGTTTGCAAGTGTTCTTAAAACACCAGCACTGTAATTTTTTCTTGAAATCTACAATTTTTGTTCTATATCTTGTGGTTTAAAAAAAAAAAAACTTTATGTTTTGTTTATTTTGTCTTTAAATTTATTCCAGGTAGCGAAGCCCAAAAGCAGTTATTTGAAATTAAAACTGAAGGAGCTAACTAGTTTCATAAAAGGGGGAAGGAGAGATTAAGGGTGATTTAGTACTATGGTGTAGAAAAGCAAAACAGTAAAGGTGCTGAATGTTAACCTTGTCCCGTTGCATTAATTACTGATGTTGTAGTATGTACCTGTAGAATTAAGTACATATTTACCTCTAGAATTAAGTACATATTTAGTGGAATATTTGAGAATACAAAAATGGACTCTTCTGTTAAAGGGAGAACATATTCTGCTATGTCTTAAGTACTTTGATACTGTGCTGATTTTAAAAAGGCTTGTTTGAGGGGGAAGACAAATGCAGATAGGTGATTTGAATTAGGCGTCCTACAGAACAGCGTAGTACTTTTGATTTTAAGATAATAATATCTTGTGCTTTTTTTCTCAGTATGATTTAAGTTAACATGTACTTATGTACATTTTTATAGTTCCTGGCTTGACAGGGGTCTGTATGGTAGTGGTGTTATTCCTCATGATTACAGCATCTACATATGCGATAAGGTAAGTGTCAGAGTCATTACTTTGATGTTTCCCAGTCAGATTACTTAGATTTTCTTCAGATTATCTTTATTTTTATATATTAACAAAGTATTTAACCCATTCAATGTCCTAGTTAATGGACTATTCTGGACAACTAAGAGTACAGTAAAGATGTTTCTGTCTATCATTTTTTGTTTTTGAAAATATCTTTGCAGGGCCGGCCCGTGGCTCACTCGGCAGAGTGCGGTGCTGATAACACCAAGGCCATGGGTTCGGATCCCATATAGGGATGGCCGGTTAGCTCACTGGGTGAGCGCGGTGCTGACAACACCAAGTCAATGGTTAAGATCCCCTTACCGGTCATCTTTAAAAAAAAAAAAAAAAAAAAAAAAAGAAAATATCTTTTCATAAGTCAAATTTTCTAGGTCAATAAAGAATCATGAATGGAGACTTAATTTGATGGCCAGGGAAATTTGAGTTTTTCAGGATCATTTTTCTGAAGGATAATGTGTCTCTATGGGACATGGGACTGTATTCAATGTGTATACACAGGGACCTTGGGAATATCTGGGAATATATGACTTCAAATTATTTTATAGCTGCTTCCTTGATATGAGCTTATTTTGCTATAATTTAACATAGTGTTCTAAGCAAAACTTTGGGAGCATGGTTGGTTTACATCAACTAAAATAATTGGAAATACCTGCATTCATATGGATTCTTCTAGTTAAGAGACTGTGAGCAATTTCAAATATACATCATCAGGAGCACTTTCTCATGTTCCTTCTGATGGACACATTCTATTTTTCAGAATATTTATAATGTCTTATGTGCTGATCAAACTTTTTGGTTAAAGAAAGTAAAGGGAAGAAACATATTTTTTCTAATCTTCAAAAATCTTCATTCTGCTTGTTGAGATGTGACATTTAGTGGAAACACAGATACACACACATGTATATGCTTTGAAAGTAATTGCCCCATAATATACGCAAATAAATCTGTCCTCACACTTCTAACCACATTGATGAACACACATACACACACTGTAGAACTTCACAAGCAAACTCACCACTCAGAGATTAACACTATAAATTTCGTAGTGTTTATTTATTTTTATTTTTATTTTTTCTCCTTTTTGTCTTTTTTCGTGACCGGCAATGGATTGCAACCCTCAGTGTCGCACCCGTACCGGACCGGGACCAGCAACGGGATCGCAACCCTCGGTGTTGCGCCCGCACCTCGCTCAGCCAGTGAGCGGCCGGTCTGTATGTGGGATCTGAACCCTAGGCGGGAGCGCCACTGCGCTCCCAAGTGGCGCACTGTAGCAGTGCGCCTCCGGGCCGGCCCTGTAGTGTTTATTTTTATAGACTTAATTCTTTTTGTTTTGCTTACTCATTCACCACCTCCTACCCCCTCCAAATTACTCTTTCTCTTTCTCAAACTCCTTATATTTCTCTTTCTTTAAATATCTATGTATTTTACCAAAATGGGGTCAGATGATATTATTTTCTTTTTTTTTTTTCCTTTTTGTCTTTTTTCATGACTGGCAATGTATCGCAACCCTCAGTGTCGCACCCGCACCGGACCGGGACCGGCAACGGGACCGCAACCCTCGGTGTTGCACCCACACCTCGCTCAGCCAGTGAGTGGCCGGTCTGCATGTGGGATCCGAACCCTCGGCGGGAGCGCCACCGCGCTTCTCAAGCGGTGCACTGTAGCAGTGCGCCACCGGGCCGGCCCCAGATGATATTATTTTCAATCTGCTTTTTATTTAAATTTGTTATGAACATTTTTCCACGTTAATAAATATTTCTTTATCATTTTCTTTACTGATGGCACAGCATATTACCATATAGACATACATTATTTTCCCAGTCCCAAATTGTTGGATATTTTTGATTGATATTTTTTTTAAATATTTCAGTTCTGAAACAAACCTGCATTCATATGTCCTTGCATACTTTTTCAATGATATCTTAAGTAAAAATCCCTAGATACAGAATAGCTGGGTCAAATGTTTAAGTGCACTTTTAAAACTTTTTATAAGAATAAAAAATTGCCTTACAGAAAGGCAAATCACTAATATTAGGACATGAGCATGCCAATTTTGTGGGGAGAAATTTTATTTTATTTAAATAAAGCAATCATTTAAAAACTTACCTTTTCACTTTTAGGAGTTTTTGAAGGAAAATTTAGGTATTTGGTATATTTAGTTGCAAAATTACAGATATATGGATGTTATACATACAGAAAAAATCCTTGAGAAATAGTTTTGTCAAATAGCATATAAAGATTAATTTCTATTCTCAACTGAGCCTTTACATTTGTTCTCATAAGCAATTCATTGAGCATCTCCTAATTCCCAGTTTTTCTTACCTTTTTAAAGAAAATTATAACATCTGATTTTTCTTTTCTCCAAGGTTTATTGTGAGAATCATGACATTCTTAAATGTATCATGGAGATAATCTTCTTCTACCTTTTCTATTTACCACTGAGAAATTAAACATTAGTGAATTAATATGACTCCATTGTTTGATTTCTGACAGTGAAATGTAATCTGCTAATTCAAGGATAGTCCAATATGGGCCAATCTATTTAAATAACTAATAGATTCTATTCATAGATGACAGGAGTACAAATGTCTTTTCACCACAACAGATTTAAAAATGATAGTTATTAAATATGAACTCTGATTCTGGGTTAAAATAGTTGTAGTAAACAAACTAGGAATTAAGTTATTTTCTTTACACAATTAAAAACTATAATAGTCAAAAAACTGAGATCATACTCAGCAGTGAAATACTAGATATATTTCTAAGAAAGCCAGGAACAAAGCTAAGGTAATATTTTAAATTCTACCATTATTTACATATGGTAAGAAATGAAACAGTTGGAATTATTAGAAAAAAAATGCAACAACAAATTATGATAATTTCCAGAAAAATAGGTACAATTCTCTATTCACAAGATCCAAGAGAGTTGTGGAAAAATTAAGTAAGAATATCAAGTGAAAGAACTGAAAAAGGTAATTCAATACAAAACGAATATAAAAAATAGCTGTTCTGGGCCGGCCCGGTGGCGCACTGCTACAGTGCGCCGCTTGGGAGTGCGGCGGCGCTCCCGCCGAGGGTTCGGATCCCACATACAGACCGGTTCCCGCTCACTGGCTGAGCGAGGTGCGGGCGTGACACCGAGGGTTGCGATCCCGTTGCCGGTCCCGGTCTGGTACGGGTGCGGCACTGAGAGTTGCGATCCGTTGCCGGACATGAAAAAAGACAAAAAGGAAAAAAAAAAAATAGCTGTTCTATGCACTAGTTATAATCATTTTGGAAACTGAATCAAATAAAAATACATCATTTGCAATTGCAACAGAAAAATGAAATATATAGAAATAAAATTAATAAGAAGCTGAGAGTTATACAGGAAAAGATCATATAAGTTCACTGAGAAAAATATGTAGAGATTTGAATAAAGGCTGTATACTATTAAGATGTAGTTCTTTCCTAATTATCTTTAAAGTTCGTTGCAATTTCAGTTAAAATCCCTGACAGTTTATTTTGTTTGTTTGAATTTACCAAAGTGATTCTTGAGTTCATCTTGAGAAACATCCAAGACATGTTGCAAAAGAGGAGTAGAAGGAGGGATGTGCCTTACTAAACACTGAAATGATTAAGCTTCAGTAACTTAAAAGAAAGTAGGACTTACTTGCAAAAACGAACAACACATTAAACCAAGGCACAGAGGTGATAGAAAGCCCGGTAAGGTATCCTGGCATGTATAATAACTTGCAGAATAATAAAACGGCCATTACAAGCTTCATGAGACCTCAAGATGGACAAGGGATCATGTAAGAAATATTTGTCTAAAAATATGAAAACTAAAACTTCTTCATCTCAATATACATTATAAAAATTGAAAGGCAAATATGATATTGAGCAAGTTATTGCAATCACAAGGAGCCAGTGCATTCTAAATATTAATAGTTTACATATATCAACTAAGAAAAATACCCTCTAGAAATAGGTGATTTTATGAACAGAGAAGTTACAGAAGAATTAAAAGTAACAAACATCTGAAACAGTACCCAATCCTACTTATAAAAAGTAATGAAAACTTATAAAGTGAAGTCTGGATTTGGGGAAACAGGCACCTCTGCTCTAAGGTTGGGTTTGTCATTGTTAAACTTGTTTTTAGAGACCAATGGGCCATGTGTATCAAAAGTATTACAAATGTGTATCCTTTGATCTAGCAGTTCCACTTCTAGTGATTTTTATTAAGAAAGAATCAGATAGGTGCAAAAATGTATATGTTACAAGAATGTTAATGATATTGCTTATGACAGCAAATGCTATGAACAGAGTAAATGTAAAACATTTGGCTATTGCTTACGTGAGTGGTTCTAAAATTTCTAGGGAAGGTATCAGAATCATATAGTTAGCTTATACTTGTCCTCCACCTCCAAGATTGTAATGCATAAATATCCACCCTAGACATATGAAATAAAATCACTGTTAGTCTTTTTACTTCTGTAGATTGTGCTTATCATTCCCTTCCTTTTCAGACTCTTTGTCCTTCCCCAGAGCAGACACACCAAGTAATTATTCTAAAGTTATACTGTCCAAGAAGAGTATATAAAAATTTAATCCTCGCTTATTTTAATTTCTCTCCATTTGAGTTTCCTTTGAACTACTCTCAAACGTATTGGGTTAGGAACATTAGTTGTTCCTAACCCAATACACATTAGAAATCATTTGAAAATTGAGAATATCGATGAAAAGGATAGCAAAAGTACATATTAGCAAACTACTGCTCAATTCTTAGCCTTACATCATAATAGCTCTTAAATAAACATCCAATTTAATTTTTTCCACGCATCTTTATTTAAAAACAGAGAACTTTAAAAATTACACAGTGTTACTTACAATTTTTGTCATTTCTCTTTTTATGGTATGTTAATAATTTGTTATTAATAGATAAATCTCAGATGAACTTATATTTTAGTTTTCTTCAATTGTGGCATATGTTTGAAACTATGCACAATCTTTTTATTGAAATAGAATGTAAAGTAGTTTTGAAACTAACGTATTTGTTTTTTCAGAGTTTCTAACTATGACATCTTCTGGTATACTCATAACCTCTTCTTTGTCTTCTACATGCTGCTGATGTTGCATGTTTCCGGGTAAGTTTAAAAAATATTTTTAAAACCATGTATACTTAAAAATGGGGTAATAAATGTCAACTCTGTAGGAATTTTCAATGGAAGTGGTAAAAGTATTTGGTGACTTGGAATTGAGGGTAAGGTTAAGAGTGGAAGAAATAGTTCCATTTTTAACATATTTTAATAAAGCCAGTATAAACATATACTAATACTGAAAGCTAGAGTTCTCACACAATGTTGTAGTTATTTAAGGCTCCCTATAGATACATTCTAATAATCTCTAAATGAATGTTGGTGAGAAGTAAAAAACTTGAAGAAGATATTTTAGTGTTTGTATTTTCAGAAACTGTCCTGCTGCTTCAGAATTTGTGATAATGGAGTTGCCAGTTTTTAGTTTAAAAAGGTCTAGAGATAGTAATACTTGCAGAGAAAGTCAAAGATTTACAATGATCAAAGACAAGGATTAGAGAAGAACATCAAAAAATCACGAAGGGAAAAAAGAAAGTATTCTAAGCTCTTAACAAAGAACATACCCAAAATATTCTAAAAAGCATGTGTACCCAAGCAGTGTACTCAAAAGATGGTGTTTAAAATACACCATCGACATAGAGGAAGAAAATAATATATGTTTGTGTATGCATACGTCTGCATGACCACCAGCAGTGGATTTGGTTTTGGCTTGACATTCAGACTTATATGATATCATAGTCCATGACTGGGCATCGGATTCATTTGTTTAGGTAGAAGGATACAGAACAGGATGCTTGGAATATCAACAGGTTTATGTTAGGTGCTTTTTGGGTGGCAGTCCCTATTGCTGTTCAGGGACAATTTTCACCTCTTTCTGCTCATCTGTAGCAACTCACTTTTAAAATGAAGAGGCCATATGGGTAGGCAATAACTAACTAGTCTTAGTTAATGCCTATTTTCCACAGGACCCAATATCTTGGCAACAACTCAGGGCCCCTAGAGGGATGCCTTCAGTTGCAAGAACACATTACACACAAGGAAGCTGGGATCTGTGAATTCCAAAATGATTTTATAGTTCAATTACAATCCTCTTGGTCCAGATGCATTTCGCCAATAATAAATAATGATTTCTGATAACACAGCTGGCATTTTCCATGTGTCTCAACCTGAAATATTTCCAGAGAAACTGTTTGGAGAAAGGTTCAGACTTGTTGTTAGCCCTTTCTTGAGAATGTTTTATAATGTGATTTATCAGTACAGTAGGTCATTTACATAAATTATATATTTGTTGCAGGGCATACATGTTCAAAACATTTTTTTTTCTTCTTCTGATTTTAATTAGGTTTATCCCACATGTCCTGCTTAGCTTTGTTTGTTGCTAGAACATACAGTTGTAAAGCAACAGAAACCTGGTCACATATTATAACCCTGACTTCCAGCTAGCTATTCCTGCCTCACAGGGAAGAGAGCAATACTTAAAGGATCAGAGTAGGTCATTTACATAAATTATATATTTGTTGCAGGGCATACATGTTCAAAACATTTTTTTTTTTGTTCTTCTGATTTTAATTAGGTTTATCCCACATGTCCTGCTTAGCTTTGTTTGGTGCTAGAACATACAGATGTAAAGCAACAGAAACCTGGTCACATATTATAACCCTGACTTCCAGCTAGCTATTCCTGCCTCACAGGAAAGAGAGCAATACTTAAAGGATCAGAGTTCTATCCATTTCCTTTTGTGGGGATAACACATTCTGCTGAGCCTTAGGATCCCGAGAAAGCCCTTGGTAGAGAATATCTGTTTTACATTTTGTTCTTTAAATGGCTTGTTCACATGTCTGAGGCTATGGTCATAAAGTAGACTATAAATAAGCAGACACTTCTAATAAAACAATAATCTTAAACAGTAATTTAATAACAATTTAATAATTTAATTTAATTTAAAACAGTAATTTAAAACAATTACACAAATCTTACTATATGCCATGTATAAATTCAAAATGCTTTAGATACTTTGTCATTAAATGCTCAGAATTTTATGAAGATGAATAATACTCTTAAACCACCTTCATAGGTGGGAAAACTGAGGTTTAGAAAGATTAAGTAACTTGCTGAAGTTTACTTAACTGATAAATCCTGGATTCAAACCTAAGCCGTCTGACTCAAACTCCTATTTTTTTACTACTAAGCTTAATTTTTTTGGAGAGCTTTCTACTTGCAGGAATTTGGTCTTTAGATTTTTTTAAAAGGTTATTTTCTTGACTAATCTGGTATTGTGAACTATGTATCTATATCATATAAGAGAAAGTTTATTAGTATAATTATACAATCTTTTGCCTCTATATTTTACTAAATTAAAACTCTGAAAATAAACCGTTCCCTTGTAATTCAAAATAGAACCAATTTTCTTAATGGTTCAGGAGTTCAAATATACTTCTTAAGTTTACAGAGGATTTTACCGATAGTTCTTTCTCCATTTATTTCGTAAGTAAAAGAAAGGCATAAATTTTGATTTTACTTTTGTAAGAAGAAAGGTCATAGGCAGAAGGTGACTTTAATTTATAAAGAGAAATAACAAAAAGATACCTACAGGCTGCATTACATATCATCAATGTATTATTACAATTGAATTAATAGTTCTTTACTTATTGTCAGTAGAAATGAAGAAAAAATGATTCTAATACTAAAATAAGTGTTATGCAACACATACACAATACAATTAGCATACTATAGTGCACATTTTTTTCTATGAAGTTTAATTTTGAATAAAGCAACATAGATTATACTTCCAGTANACCAATTTTCTTAATGGTTCAGGAGTTCAAATATACTTCTTAAGTTTACAGAGGATTTTACTGATAGTTCTTTCTCCATTTATTTTGTAAGTAAAAGAAAGGCATAAATTTTGATTTTACTTTTGTAAGAAGAAAGGTCATAGGCAGAAGGTGATTTTAATTTATAAAGAGAAATAACAAAAAGATGCCTACAGGCTGCATTACATATCATTAATGTATTATTACAATTGAATTAATAGTTCTTTACTTATTGTCAGTAGAAATGAAGAAAAAATGATTCTAATACTGAAATAAGTGTTATGCAACACATACACAATACAATTAGCATACTATACTGCACATTTTTTTCTATGAAGTTTAATTTTGAATAAAGCAACATAGATTATACTTCCAGTATCAGAAAAATTACAACTGATAAACTTTCCAACTTTCTGAAAATGGAAAATGTTCTTTAATTGATAAAGGATCTGTCTATGTGTAATCCTGCTTAGATTATCTTTTGTGCCAATATTTAGAACTAGATCTATCTTTATTTCTGAAATATCCAGATAATTTTATTCTCCAGCTTTTTGATTTTACAAGTAAGTACAGTGTTCAAAGCAAGTTTCTTGGATTTAGATTGAGATTTTTGTTAAACAGTGTGCTTTAGGTTTGAACAGAAAATCAGCATTTGCTGGGCATTTACTCTTTTGTCCATCAATGAGCTGAGAGTACTGTAAGGTATAGAAGAACAATATATTATATGATTCCCAGTCTTCCAGCATTAATAAATAATTTGAAATTGAAAAAAATCAATTAAAAGAGCTAGAAGTAATTTTGACTGCACATTTTAAAAATGTTAACATATTTTATTTATAAGAATTCTAGCAATTCAGAGAATTGAAAAGTCAATGTTAGCTAGAAATTTTAGAAAATACTAAACTTCAAAGATAAAATGATTAGAAAACATTGACTGGTTTTTCTACCTAAACAGAATTTTGCAGTAAGAGGAGTAATTGTTTCATATGATTTTCTATGGTTAATTTTTTTTTCATAGAATCTTAAATTTTGAAGGAAACTTAAAAGATGTTTGACCAAGTCTCTTTAAATCTCCCCTACCATATGTCTACTAAGTAAATGTCTAATTATGAAGATGTCCATTCTGTCTTTGCGGAGCTTTAATTCTCAGAAAGTTCTTTCTTTTTTTTAAGTAGAATTTATTTTACTGTACTTTCTATCCAGCAATTTAAAAGTTTGATTCTGGAGGTCATGGAAATTAAGTGCCTCCCCTTTTCTAAATTCTGCTCATCTGTTCCCTTGCCTGATGATATTTTGAATTTCATCATTGTTCTGAACTTTCTCTTTTAAATATATTAAAATTAATATTTATTGAATGCTTATCTTTTACCTTGCTAATGTTTGATCTCATTAAGTCCTCTCAGAACCCTGTAAAGTATTTATTATTATTATTATTATTATTATTATTATTATTATTATTATTATTATTATTATTATTATTATTATTATTATTATTATTATTATTATTATTATTATTATTATTATTATTATTATTATTATTATTATTATTATTATTATTATTATTATTATTATTATTATTATTATTATTATTATTATTATTATTATTATTATTATTATTATTATTATTATTATTATTATTATTATTTATTCCCATTGTCCAGCAGAGAGAACAGGAGCAGTGAGAGAGGTGAGGTAACTTGCTTGACCTTGAGTTTGAACTCCAGTATCAGATTGCAGAACCCACATTTCTAACCAGTGAATCATGCTGGCTCCAGTCTGGCATGGTTTTTCTGTACGCCTTTTAAAGCTGGAAGCCAAACTAGATGCAGGCAGTTCTCTTAGATTGTATAATCTGCTATTAGTAGAGTGTAAGTCTCACTATCTCCGCTACAAATAGTGCAGTCAGAGTTATTTAGGACCCAATTATCTTTCTCCATGATTATCTGTGCTCTTAGCTTAACCTGGTTTTCATCCTTATTACATATATTTTAGATTTTTTTGTTGTTATTTATTCAGAAATCTATTGTATGCCACCCTAAAAAGTTACATTTCATGTGCACTAAACTCTGATGTTTCTTTTACTATTCAAAGGGATCTTTAAAATAAATTATTTTTTCTTTCCAAGATGTCAGTGTAGCATGGTGGTTAAGAGATGTTGGCAGATAATTTGACCTATTTTTTCTTATCTATTAAGTGGAATTAATAAAACTACCCACATCATAGGGTTGTCACAAGTTT